ACTAATAAAATAAAATTTTAACTGATTTATCATTCTGATTTCTGTTAAGAGGTTCCTTAAAAAAATCTTAAATATTTACCTGTGGCAACTTTTGTATATCCTTTAATAATTCCTTTGTTGCGGATTTGTAATTGAAAAACTCATCTTTGTCAACTTAAACACTTCTATTTGTTCTTAAATTAACAGCTATGCTCTATTAATAAACTGGGCATCTCAAGTCAGAGACGTTTTAGGAAATTTAGGATTTTTCGAAGTTTGGCTAGCTCAGGGTGTTGGTAACCAAACATTGTTTTTATCTAAGCTAAAACAAAGAATTTCAGATGTTTTTATTCAAGAATGGACAAGTCGTATAAATTTATCATCAAGAGCAAGATTTTATAGAGTATTTGCAAAATTTGAATACAGCTTTTATCTAAAAAATGTTAATATAAGTAAATACTTGACAGCTTTAACCAGATTAAGACTGTCAGCTCATCATTTAAGTGTAGAAACTGGCAGATGGCGTAACATTTCCTTAAGCGACAGATTATGTAGCGCATGTCAAAAATTAGAAGACGAATTTCACCTATTGTTTGAATGTAAATTGTATAATTCTATTAGGAAGCGATATATCAACCAATATTACGTAATAAACCCAAATATGTATAAAACTGCAGAACTGTTTAACTCTCATTCAGTACAAATTGTAAGAAATTTAGCAATGTTTGTCTATAAAGCTTTCGAGATTAGAAAAGAATCTACATTGCAATCTTAAAGAGTAATAAATATTTATATACTGTATAATTCTAAAGTTCCTTTCTGAACTTTCAAATGTTCTTCTTTACATGTTAAAAACATTTTCCTATTTTCAAACTTTATTTGATACCTTTTAAATGTTCGATATGTTGTATCATGTTCGTTATTTTTTTTTTCTTTTTCCTTGTTCTTTTCATAGTATTTTTATTATCCTCTTGTTAAAACAATTTTTTATTATAGCAAAAACTAAAGGTAAACAAATCTTGATTATCGTTTACATTATAATTGACATGATTATTTCCCTTGTATGCGTCATACTCGTCTTGTACTTTCGTTTTCGATACAAGGCAATTTGTCAAATACTAATATGCATATTTGTTTGTGTGTCTAAATCTGATAATTCATATCTGACATGAAAGCATGTCATGCTTTAGAGTTTTAGTAGTAAAAATAATGGTCTTGTAATTTCATTTTCGATACAAGGCATTATGTTACATGATTATATGTTTATGTATACATTTGATACCAAATATTATAAATATTTATATATGAGCATATTATGATAAAACAAGTAAATATTTGATAACCATTGATGTTTAGTAAAAAGAACACATACAGAACAAGGTGACAAACCAAATAATCAAAGAGATAAATATGTATGAAATTATAATTGATATGAATTAAAATGTAAATGACTTCATATAGTTTTGATAATATATGAATGTAACAATATGTTGAAAGTGAGTAATACATGTATTATTATTCAATGTCCGTCATTGTATTGTAATGTATTGTGTAATGTATTGTATTTCTGAGAATGTTGTAATTTTATATTTTGTGTCAGGTCAAGGGCTTATTAGCCTAAACCAGACTGTTGTTGTTAACATGTGGATTTTGAAATAAACTTCTTCTTCTTCTTATAAAATGCATGGGTAATACTTTTCAGTTGCATAAGAACATTCATGATTGTGTAACACAAAAGAGAAAATTTATACAGGTACCGTCTACTGCATAGCAAATAAACCACATATAATTTTGTTATGTTATTATCGTAAGGTATAAATATGTAGCATCAGCTATGTGAAGGTCATACCTGTATTATGAAACGTGTTAACGATGCAAACGCGTAAATTTATGCAAACGTTTATTGTGAGCCCGTATTGTGATACATTTCGATATAGTCAACCCGTATTGCAAAACACAATGCAATGAAATTTTTGTCATAATGTATAACAATACAGAGTGTGTATGTGCGCCGTTAGTGCGCGTGTGCCTATGTGCGTGTGTTATTTATTTATTTATTTGTCAAAGAATTACATCTTTTAAAATTTTTTTTAAAGGTGCCTTTAAAATCTAGTTTTAAGGGTTTTTAAACGAATCCGTTTTTTACTTGACAGGTCTTTTTCCCAAACCGCATTCAGAATAAACAAAAAGTGTTTAAAAAACGGCCTAAAAAGTTTTGGAAGCCAGAACCATTATTTAATTAACCAACGCCGGAATCCGTATATTTTAGCTGCAATAAGTAACAGTTTTCTAAACATGTCTGCAATAAGTATCAGTTATCTAAACGTGTCTTCTTATAGACTTAATAAGACACCTTTTGAAACCTCTGCTTTGGATATAGCCGTATAAAGAGTTTTACAATTTATTATCACTAAACTGTTTCAGATAATAAACTCGATATGTTTTAATAAAAATGATAATGGACTTATTGTTATGTACATTTGTAATGTTATATGAACAAAATAAGACATGTTGTATTATTATTGAAATATCATATCTTATATCATTTTACACTTCATTCTTTATATAATAATAATAATATGTTTATATTAGTATGCATAAGCATATCTACCAAGTTTACTACAATTTTATCACAAAACGACGGTCAAGGTCAGCATGAATAGTTCAGTAAACATTCAGTATGTACTTTATTAAGACTGTCCTTGATAACCGAGGAAGACGGAAGATGCTGCACTATAAAACAATCATTTTAAAACAATAAAACATGTGGTAAAGAGAGAGCAGCCTCCGATGTTCATGGTCATGATATTAAAATGTCTCACCGACGGCAGCTCGTTTTTATCACCCTTTTTATGATTACTATATAATATGATAGTGAAATGTATTTGAACTATAATTTCTCTCAAAGAGCTCGCTTTGAGGCTTTGCCTTAATATTGCTTATCAAATTGAACCTAATGCATTGCATTTAGGCATTAAATTATAAGAACCGAAACGCTTGCTCCGCTTTAAAATACGACTAAACTTAAACGAAAAATTAACATTGAAGTGAACAAATTGGTACAAAGAAAAATCGGAAAATATCATTTACGTAACGTATCACTACGAGCAATGGTTCATTCCGCTTAATCCTTTAAACTGTATTAATCGATTATTGTTTTCCGAATAGTGTTGAACAATTGCATGTTCCGAAAAATAGTAGCAATTTCAAAATGTGGAATCTGTTTAACTACAGGTTATTTTTTATACAATAAATCTGTATTGTTAAATATCTTATACAGGCCACCTAACAGTAACCAGTCTTTGATTGATTTCTATGAGCAGCATTCAATTACAGCAGAATTTAATAATCTAGATTTGTATGTGACTGGAGATATGAACATTAACTATTCATACCTAAACAATTTTTAACAATAACAAATGGGCGCATATTGTTCAAGATTTTGGCATCGAGCAATAAATCCGATCTCCTTCTGGATTAACTTAATATATTTGTTGACTATAATTGATCATTTTTAGGTATCTTCCCTTAGCCATAATTATGATTTGACTGTCTCTAATTCAAGCTTAAGCGATCACTATCCATTGTCGTTTACAATAAATTGTGTTACAAGAAAGGAGGCAAAAGCTTTTCGCATAAAACGATAAATCATCGTTTATTCAAGAATTTTAATAAACAAGTTTTTTAAAAAAAGATTTGAATGCTAATAATTTTAATATGATTGAAACTATTGCAGAGCCTAATAACTCACTTGATGTTCTATACAAGTTGATTGAAGCATTATTTAACAAACGCAGCTTTGATCCGCCTTAAAGATGCGTGGTCTCCGAATATTGATGATGTAAAAATAGTAGGTGCTGTAATTTTAGATAATAAAAAAGCCTTTGATTTATTTGACCATAATGTACTGATTCATAAATCAAACTTTATCATTTTTCTGAAAACTCTTAAAATTTTTCCCAAATTTTCATATCTCTCAAACAAAAACCCAAATTTGTAAAAGTCAAAAAATTTAAATTTATGAAAGCTTCCCTTTTTAAACAGAGACCACAGCCCAATTTTTGGGTCCTTTTTATTTATTTCTTTTAAAAATCATCATTTTTGATTTTAAAAAGAGAAATTTTAATTTTAAATTTTTGTCTAAATTCTCTCTGCGTAAAATTTATTTGGTTTAATTTAATATGAAAATTTATGTTTTTGTAACGGGAAAAACCAGATCCAATATAGAAAGTGAAAAACAACTTGAAAGAACAGAAGACTAAAAAAAGAAATTGAATTATATTATTGGTAAATACAGATTCAACATGTATATGAATTTAACTCTTTGATTATAACACAACTTAAAGCTAGCATGCCTCCAAATGCAGCCAAAATATTTCAAGAAAATCAATATTGAGAAAAAATGTACTAAGATTTTAAGAGAGGAAAAACATTCAAGATACAAGTTATAGTATACCACTATTTGGTAATTTTCTTTGATTGTAAGTGCCGATTGCAATATGTAAATAGCTTTATTCGTTCATTTCCCAATATTGTACTTTTAAATACTATTCCAAAATTTTAATGGGAATTAACATGAATCTGGAGGTGTGCTGCTTTAAAGATGTTAAAATGGAAAGAAAATATGTATTTGAAGAGAGATTGTAAAATATTTGTAGTCTGTACAATTTGTAAGCATTAAAGACATACTGCTTTAACTACAGGATGCTTCCTGTTTCTAAAGTATAAATTACTAGATTATATTGTCTCAATTTTATTCGCTAAAGGGAGGTAATCACTGAAAAAAGTTTGACAAATGATTGATGCAGTTATTTGCTCTTATATGATATTCACACATTATGTCAGACCTCATTGTCAAATATGGAACATGTTGTTGAGTCTTATTATCTACTTCTTGGATATTAATGTGTAATCTTATCAATATAATTATTGACACAGAAGCTGCAATTATATCATACTTATGTCTGAAAAGAATAATTTCCATTTTGTAGATCTAATTTTATTTTTCCTTTCTTTTACAGGAAAAACTGGTAGTGGAAAAACCACACTCTATAGACAATTACAAATTATATATGGAGATGAATATTCAGATGATGAGGCTGGCTATTTCAAATGTCATGTTTATAAGGCCATTGTACAGACCATTCAGGCATTGATTTATTCAATGAAGGTACTTGACATACAATTTCAAGATGACAAGAACCTGGTAAGAAAATCTGACGAGTTTTTGTTTGTTTGTTTCATTGGGTTTTATGTCACACCGACACAGTTACAGGTCATATGGTGATGTTTCAGCTTAACTGGTGGAGGAAGACCTTGGGCGCTCTTCTGTGTATTATTTCAGACAGGAACAGGTACCTGTGTAGAACCACTGCCGTTATGTAAGCTATTTTTATACAATTATTTATAGGAAATTGTGCTTGACATTGTGGTCATTATTTATTTATAAATTCACTTATTTTTATTTAGGTTTTCCAAAGGAAAAAATCTGGTTATTAGATGGGCCAATGGGGGTATGGTGGCATGATCAGTTCCTTCTTTGCACAACTCCTACATTTCTCAAGGGCAGTGTTTTGCGATTCAAACATTTTTTTACAGAATTATGGCCCATTATTAAAAAAAATGCATTTCTCTTCTCAGCTGCAACTACATTTCTGATGTGATTTTGGCTAACATTTCACAGCTTTGTTGTGTGTCCTAGTGCATATTGTCAGTGTTTTGTAATTCGAATTATTTTGCAGAATAATGGCCCTTGTTTTTTTGTAAAACAGAAAAAAACACTTCCGTTCTCATCTTTCACTTCATTCCTCAAGCGATTTTGACAAAATTTTCATAGAAGCTTTGTTATCAAGTGTCCTGGCGCATATTGTCAGGGTTCTATCATTCAAAAATTTTTGGCAGAATTTTTGCCCTTTGTTTTTTGGTGTGTTTTTTTAAACAGAGAAATACACTTCAGTGCCCTACTAACAGTCCTCAAATTTTCACAGAACCCTCATCATCAAGAGCTCTTTTACATATAAGATATAGAAAATACTTTTTTGTGACTTCAACTTTTTTATTTATTTAAGAAACTGCTATTTAAAGCATTATTATGAGATTGAAATAATTATTCAAAGTGTAAAATGCTGACAATAAATTAATGCACCAGGGCACTTGATGGTGGAGCTCCTGTGAAACATGAACATTTAACCCTGGTTGTGTTGCATTGTTTCATTTCCTGTTTTTTAAGTATATTTTAATAACTCTCTCATATTACAGGAGACCACCAGGCAAGTGCATACTGTGGATACATTTTATATGAAGACAATATCAGAAGAACTTGCCAATGCTATAAAACTGTTGTGGAATGATAGAGGTGTACAGACTTTGTTTAGAACGTTGGGAGGTTTCTGTGTCTGACTCAGCTTTATAGTATGTAAAATTTAGGTGACATGATGTGCATATATATATGAGCCGCGCCATGACAAAACCAACATAGTGCATTTGTGACCAGCATGGATCCAGACCAGCCTTTGCATCCGCCAAGTCTGATCAGGATCCATGCTGTTTGCTATCAGTTTCTCTACTTGTAATAGGGTTTGCATTTCAATTTTGGATCATTTTCACAATAAAAATAATTATTCTTATAAAACAGAGATGAGCAAATGATCTGAAATGTTGTATACAAGTTACGATAAGTCTAGACCTACACTAAATGGGACATAAATCTTCTTTTAAAATGGATAATTATTTCCAGTTCAAGTCACGTAATAAACCTTAGTTGAGTCCCTTTTAATCTTAGACCGAAGGATCGCTTTAAGCTAAAAGCAGGGCAAAATTCATTAATCAAGTTCAGCTGGCTTATACGATGAAGATGAATTTAAATATTGTTACAGAATACAAAAATGGATTTGATATTTACATTTACAGTTTTCTGAATGATATGGATAGAGTTTTCGAACCTGGTTACTCACCATCTAAACAAGACATTGTGAGATTTTTTATACCAACTACTGGTATACAGGAATATGTATTTGAACAGGAAGGCCATTTGTTCAGGTAAATTTAGGTAATATTTGTACAATTGCAGCCAAGTTTTGGTAAACTCTAAATTGCATTTTGATGTGATTGCCTCCCTTAGATTGTCACATTGTGTATCTTCTAAAATATTTCCTTGGAGAGTAATGACTGTTTGTGGAAGTAGGTACATGTACATGTAGTTGTTAAATAACATAAACATTTTTATCAGTGGGCCAATTTTGTTTAGTTGCAAGATTCAAAGTAAAATTTTTGATAAATTAGATCCTAGAGGATATTGAATGAGTGTAGTTTTAATACTAAATTTCATTGAACGAGTTGAATAAAATCATATTATGCGAGCCTCTGGCGAGCATAATATTGTTTTATTCAACAAGTTCAATAAATTTAGTATTGAATCTACACGAATATAATATTCTATTTATCACATATATAAAATAAGAACAATAAACTGTAATATTAGTAATTTTTAAATGACGCGCCCATAGTGTAACGCTAACATTAGCGCGCTTTAACGCTATGTTTGTTATAATGCAAATGATTGTCACGTCAAAGTGTTATTACACTAGTGTAATATAAATTTTGTTAAATGGCTCTAGTAAACTCCTGCACCGCAGTTTATGTGATTAAACATTTATGTAACTCTTGAATTATTGAAAGCTTTTCAAATTTTGTTTATAGACTGCATATATTATGATCAAGGTTCAAGTTTTTAAACGGCAATGGGAACTCTGCCATCACTGTAACAAAACCTCCAATCATTATTCAATCTGTCTAATATTTATTTTGTTATATTGTAGAATTACAGAAATGGGAGGCTTCAACTTGCACACTTTCCGTTGTAGAAAACTTTTGTTTCAGTTTATTCAAACTATTCATGTGATATTTTATGTAGCAGAAATAAGTGTGTTTGAGAGAGCAGTGGAGGGTTCAGACTCTGAAGTGAGTATAGGATGTTCTTTATGTGCCATGTACGCTGTACATTTTCTTAGTTCAAGGCCTCCACATTATTAATCCGTTACTTGGGTAACACACAACATACAAATGTACATGTTATTGTTTGTTTGTTTAATTGGGTTTTACGTCACAAAGACACGTTATAGGTCATATGGAGACGTTCCAGCTTTACTGAGGGAGGAAGACCTCAGGTGCCCTTCTGTGCATTATTTTAGGCACAAACGGACACCTGAGTATAACCACCGATGTTCCGTAAGCTACATGTAACTGGATAGTTTCCTCACATAAAATAATCCAAAGTCCCTGTTGGGAATTAAACTCACTATGGTGAGGGGCAAGTGGTTTGAAGTCAACGACCTTAACCACTCAGCCCGTAACTGCATGTTAAGGACAATTTCTTAAAGAACATAAATACATTTTGACCTTGACTTATAAAACACATGACTGTGTAACATTGAAATTTCCATACAAAGCATTTCTACATTTTTTTTTTCAATTTTTCCAATCTTGTTGACCTTTAAGATTTTACCATTTTACTAACACATAGCTCCACTTTTTGAAGAAAAAACTTTAGCTATTGCTAAACCCATATTGATTGTTCACGTTGGCACTCCAAAAACTTTTAATATTGGCTGTTATTGTTTTTATTTTTTGGACAAGACTTTCAAGATGGCCAGACTGAACTTGGCATTGACTCATAAAAAACTGACATTCAAGGTCAATTTTTTGCTTGCTTTCTTACATAATTGGCATTAATTTTGTTAATTATGAATGGATTGCCTTGTTCTTGGTAATCCAACAAAGATTATGTTACCATCTTAACAAGAGCTTTTTGATATTTTGAACAAAAAAAGAAAGAAAATATTTTAGGTCTTTGACAAAGTACATTAAATTTCATTGTAGAGGACAGGCTTGACTCTAGTATTGTTATAATGTTTTGCGACACTTTGTATTTCTGTTTTTCAGAATGAAGTTGTAGAGGCAGTGGATTTGTTTAAATTAGTGGTGTTACACCCATGGGTATCTAAACAAGGTTGTATTGTTTTGAAAAAAAATTTACCCTTTTTAAAGAAAAAATTTTAAAAAGTACAAACTTCATGACACTTTCCGGAAAAATATTTTGGGAAGTAATTTATATAAAAAAAATTTTAGATTATTTATATTGTTTTTTTTCAAAACTCTATACCTCTATCCCTGGGTTAAATAAACCAAAAAAACGTGTTGAACTTTTTCTATCGGGGTGAAAAAAATCACAAAAAATCAAAAAACCCCAAAAAATTTTAATTTTAAATGTTACTAAGGGGTAAAAAACCCCTAACAAACTTTTTGAAAATTTCTTGGGTTTTAAACAAAAACCCCAAAAAAATACTTTTTAACCCCCTTTTCCTTGTTTCCAAAAAGAAAACAATTTTTTTGACATCAATTTCTATGGGGTTTAAAAATGAACCATTATTTTGAAAACCCTTTTTTAGAACCAAAACAAAAATTTAATTGATTTTCTTTCAGTAAGTTCAAACAGACCCTCAATAAACGTGTTGACACTCATTTCATTTGGTTCAAACAACATTTTCATGTCATTTTTATCTGTATTATATTCTGTTACTCAAGAAAATAACCTGAAAATACGCCAAGCCAAAGACTGTAAAGGTCATGTTGCGACTTTCAAATTATACTGTTGGAAAATGAGGTCCGGTGGCATACGCCCGTTTAGCTCATTTGATAGAGCATCGGATTAGTAATTCAGAGGTAGCTGGTTCCTCAGACATTGGACATTGAGTCTTATTGAAATATGACCTTTACCACTGATTTAGAATCACGTGGGAGTAGTAGTCTGTCACTTGCAATGGGATTGGTTATCATTACTGGTAGTAGTCTATCACTTGCAATGTGATTGGTTATCATTTCTGGTAGTAGTCTATCACTTGCAATGTGATTGGTTATCATTACTGGTAGTAGTCTGTCACTTGCAATGTGGTTGGTTATCATTACTGGTCAGTTATCCAATAAATCCGATTAGTTAGATCAACTCCTGTCATTTGATCAAAATGTGATAAATAAAGCATAACAGTAGAGAAAAAAAGCAACAAAACAAAAACAAAACAAAGCGTTGTAACACTTTTCAATTTTTGATTCTTTTCATAATTATGATAATTATTCTGGAAAAACAGAGTGAGGGAATGATCAGAAATTTTGTACATTTGTTATTGGTGTAGATCTTTATCAAATGGAACTTTTATCTTAAAAATATTTCCAGTCTCGGTATGTAAAAAAACCTCGGTTTAGTCCTTTTAAACAATGTAATTATTGTTCTTGACTTCTCATTGTTTAATGAAAAAAAAGCATTGCTACATAGCTAACATATACTGGAATATTATACTTTAGAGAATAAACAATTAATTAATACTAAAACATACATGTATGTATATTGACTTTCTTCTATAAACAAAATTCAATGTTGATTTATATTTATGTTGATATGTACAATGATTTCTACAAACATAATATTGGTAGTTTATACTGTAAATTTAATATTACAGACATCTAGCTTTATCGGTGCAATCTGGGAGTGAGTTAATGATATTAATTTAAGGGTGGGGGGTGCAGGCGCTAGTCACATAATCAAATATTTTACATAACTGGTCTATATATGTATATTAAGATATATCTTATTATAGTATATAGCTCATATAAAACTTTAAAAAGTTTGTTTCAAGCACCTGTGGGGGTGGGGTTTAATACAGATATCATGTTACTTATATTTATTGATATGTATATATTTGAAACAGGACCCGACAATGATGTAAAAGCTGGTTGTCATTTCATGAAGAATTTGTTTCTTGCCGTACAAGCCGAGGAAAATAGACCAATATATCCCCATTTCACATGCGCCATCGGTAGGTCCCCATTATAACTCATGATGTTAATATCTTTATTGGATTTAACGGCTTTTAATAATATGTATGTTTGTTACTTTGGTTGGTCACATCCTCATTGGCTTTTATAGATAACTTCTTAGTAATTACCAATTTTCCACATGTGACCAACTTCTATATGCCACATGATGTCTTAAATGATGATATCTGCTTTTGTTTATAGTTTACAATATTACTTGTTCCTTGTCATGGATAATTTTTAGCTCACCTGTCACAAAGTGACAGGGTGAGCTTTTGTGTTCGCTTTTCGTCCGGCGTCCGGCCGGCGTCCGTCCGTAGACTTTACTTTAAATGACATCTTCTCATAAACCACTAAGCCAATTTCATCCAAACTTCACAGGAATGTTCCTTTGGTGGTCACTTTTAAAAATTGTTCAAAAAATTTAATTCCATGCAGAACTCTGGTTGCCATGGCAACTGAAAGAAAAAACTTTAAATATCATCTTTTAAAAAACCCTAAGAGCTAGAGCTTAGATATTTGGCATGAAACATCTTCTTTCGTGACTGTCTACCAAGTTTGTTGAAATAAAAGCCCTGGGGTCAAAATGGCCCCGCCCCAGGGGGTCATTGATTTTCCCTATATGCATACAGTAAAAACTTAAAAAATCTTCTTTTAAAGAACCCAAAGAGCTAGAGCTAAGATATTTAGCATGAAACATCTTCTAATGAGTGTCTACCAAGTTTGTTCAAATAAAAGCCAAGGGGTCAAAATTGGCCCCGCCCCAGGGGGTCATTGATTTTCCCTATATGCATATAGTAAAAACTTAAAAAATCTTCTTTTAAAGAACTCAAAGAGCTAGAGCTAAGATATTTAGCATGAAACATCTTCTTATGAGTGTCTACAAAGTTTGTTCAAATAAAAGCCCTGGGGTCAAAATTGGCCCCGCCCGAGGGGGTCATTGATTTTCCTTATATGTGTATAGCAAAAACTTAAAAAACCTTCTTTGAAAAAACCCAAATAGCTAGAGTTTAGATATTAAGCATGAAACATCTTCGGGTGAGTGTCTACAAAGTTTGTTCAAATAAAAGCCCTTGGGTCAAAACTGGCCCCGCCCCAGGGGTCATTGATTTTCCTTATATGTGTATAGCAAAAACTTTAAAATCTTCTTTGAAAAAACGCAAATAGCTAGAGTTTAGATATTAAGCATGAAACATCTTCTAGTAAGTGTCTACAAAGTTTGTTCAAATAAAAGCCCTGGGGTCAAAACTGGCCCCGCCCAAGGGGGTCATTTATTTTCCCTATATGCATATAGAAAAACCTTAAAAAATCTTCTTTTAAAAAACCCAATGAGCTAGAGCTTAGATGTTTAGCATGAAACATCTTCTTATGGCTGCTACCAAGTTTGTTCAAATAAAAGCCCTGGGGTTAAAATTGGCCCTTCTGGGGGGAGGCCTATATACAGGTGAGCGACCTCAGTGCCATTATGGCCCTCTTGTTATATCAGGTGAGCGATTTCAGGACCATCATGGCCCTCTAAAATGGATTGTCTTCGTACTTGGACACAACAACCGTTTTGACAAGACCTTGAAGAAGGCCAGTTTGAACTTGACATTGACTCATAAATGGCATTGACTCCTATGGACAAAACTTTTGATTTTTTTCTGATTTTTAGCTCACCTAAGCTGGTTTAATGGTGATGACCTAATCATGTATTCACAATAGAAAAAAATCCAACCACCACCACAACAACAACAACAACAAAACTACACTTTTTGCAATATTGATATGTTAATTTATTCAAGTTTGACTCACACTTTGAAGTGTCCATGACCTCGATTGTTTTCTTTTACAGATACACTGGGGATGAAACGTGTGTTTGATGACATTATTCAATACACAATACAATCAAATAATATAAAGGAACACAAATTACTGTGATCACTTGAAAATAAAAAGTGATTCAATTAATAAACTGAAGTACACAGGGAACCGAAAAACACTGGGAACCGAATGACACTGGGAACCAAAGGACACTGGGAGCCAAAGGACACTGGGAACCAAAGTACACTTGGAAGATTCTTGTCTGCTTAAAGAACGTATATGTTTACTGCTATTGCTTGGTACCTGACAATAATCATATTTACAATGTAGCTACTGAGTGTCTAGTATGATACCAATGTGTTAACAAAGGATATTTTGATAGCCCCTAGAAGAGATTGTGTGAAAGATATACGTTGTTTGAATTTGTTTTGTTGGAATATGTGCAGTGATCATTTAAAGACAATTCTGGGAGAAGTGCAATTTGTTTTCCAACATAAGAGGGACTGAGAATCTTTTAATTAAAAAGGATGGTTAGATGGTAAAAGGAACAAATTAATGAAAAAAATAGGTTATTGTCCCACTTTTTGAGAAACCTGCCTCATGTTGTTACTTTTAGTTAGAAAGACAGTTTGTTTTCATTTAAAGATCTATAATGCTCAAATTTGATGCTTGAAAATACTGATACAATCATGTACTTGCTATACAATATCTTAAGAATATATAAATAAATATCTTGTGAGTACACACAGAAAGTTTATGTTATATTTTTAACTATACAGACTTACGATAAACAGAGTATGGATAGTGAGTAGTGTCATTCAAAAACTGACATTTCTGTAAAGGGACTCCACTTGCCTCCCACTTAGCCTTTTTTGACATGAAGGGACCGAAAATATTTTTTCAGGACTTTTATATTGCTGTATGAAGGTCTGGACCAATAACTTGTGTGCAAAATTTCAGAGCATTTGTTCACTCCGCTTGTCTGGTATAATCAATGTTATTGCGTAAATTGACCCCAAAATGAAAAGCGTTGCAAAGCTTTTTACTCAATCGGCCGAAAAAACGCATAAAAAGCCGATTATTTATATAGTGCATAGTATATTTAAATATTATCTATTGCATAGTTTTCCATTTTAAGTGCACTAGATGATTGATGTAAAAATCAATTTTATTATTTTGGCTATAAGACCTCTGTGGAGTTCCTTTAAAGAAAATTCCAAATCAACTTGACCAATAAAAGTTTGTGCAGCTATAGTTTGTGCATTCTGTTACGCAAATTCAATATATTCAGTAAAAATGTTCGTAAACTTTAATATATGTCAGCACTAAAAGTATTTTACCTTTTGTTGTGATTTAAGTAAATGATTTAATATTTCGTTTGCTTTTACATGTTCGCATTTCCTTAAAGACTTTATCGGGAGTTTTAATGTTCTGCCTAATAAATTAATATGTCCACATGGAAGCTCCCGAAAACTTCATTAAAACACCTTCATTTGTAATGACAAATAAAGTTTTAAAGCTGTATTTAATAAATAGATATGTAAACATATATTGCCGTCGGCCTAACAACCAAGCATTCTACATTTTCATTAACCTTTTAAACAGTATTGCTGTAAATCTCATCAATTATTGTTCATAATTTATGATTTTAAATGGAAACGCCCACGGGTATACACATTTTATCATGCAAATGAAGAATATAATCGGCTTGTGTATGCTCTTATGTCACAGTGTTATCAGGAACACAGCAAATTGTGCAAAACAACTTTAGATTTAACGGTTTCAGCTTCACAGTGCATTAGGCCTGGCGTTCAGAAAAAAAAGTGATCATCTCATAAAAAAGATTAAATTTGAAGAAAACATCCGTTACAATACGGAAATATACCGTTAAAATTAGGACTATTACATGTACTTATAGCCATGTTTGTTGATTTAATACTGATGTACGAATGTCAAAAACGTGGAGTTTCTCATGCAAACAGAAATAAGTTATTGTATTTCCGATTTCGCAACAATAAGGTTGCAGATTTTTTGATTGGTTGTCTGTACCCCAAAGTAGGATCTAGAGTCGATAATAAATCCAATTTATTAATGAAATGAAGCATTTTGTTGCTAAATAAAATCTTTTAATTATGGATATATAACAGGCTTTCTGATTGGTCCTTGTTAGGTTAAAGGTCAATTTCATGCTTGACAGTTTTCATAGTATTTGTATTACTACGCCTTTTCTTATAAATAGTCGTTTTTGGCGCTATTTTGGTTACAGTTTTGTAAGACACGTTTGTTGATCGACGCTTTTGAAAAAATAAAAAATTGATTTGTCATAAAGGGTTTTACTGTGCCCGACATTTAGTTTCAAATATTTTCTGTTATCAAGTTACGCGTATACGATGTAGTACTCGGGGACTATTTGTTATTGAAAATCAGCTGTTTTGGGACCAGCTTGTAGTCTTTTATGGTGAAGGACAGGTATAATTTGTTTTGAATTTTCTGTTAATCATGAGTGACCGAAAATCAGCGAGAAATAAAGAAGTTCTCGATTACAAAGCAATGAATGAAGGAAGAATATCCACGCCTGCTGCTAAGAAACCACATATTTCAGAAGCGATAACGCTTTCTCCCGTCCAGTTGTATGATTTTCCTAGGGAGAGTGTGGCTTCGTCACCGTCTAAAGTACTTCCGGGAGATGTCAAGATTTCTGAAAAAGAACAATTGTTGGCTCGTTTGTCAGCTTTAGACGAACGGCAGGCTCGCTTGCGGGAACGGAATGAGCTGGAGATGCTAAGAAGGCAAATAGAAGAAAAAAAAAGAAGCGTACATTCATGACCTTGAGAAGTCACTGTCTGTGTCATGTTCTGCTCATGTAAAGGATAGT